TATATTCTGAATATTGATTTTTTTTAATTAATTTTTTTGTGAGGAGATCAGCCCTGAGCTAACATCTGCCAATCCTTTTTTTTTTTTTTTTGCTGAGGAAGACTGGCCCTGGGCTAACATCCGTGCCCATCTTCTTCCACTTTATACGGGACGCCGCCACAGCATGGTTTGCCAAGCAGTGCGTTGGCGCGCCCCCGGGATCTGAACCGGTGAACCCCGGGCCGCCGCAGCGGAGCGCGCACACTTAACCGCTTGCGCCACCGGGCCAGCCCCAGAATATTGATTTCTTATCCAATACATGATTTGCAAATATTTTCTCCCATTCTGTGGGTTGCCTTTTCACTGCTGATAATGTCCTTTGATACACACTTTTAATTTTTAATGAAACCCATTTTATTTATTTTTTCTTTTCTTGGCTATGCTTTTGGCATCATATTCAAGAAATCATTTTCAAATCGAATTTTGAATCTTTCCCCATTTTCTTCTGAGTTTTCTATTTTTAGCTCTTATGTTTAGGCTTTGATCTATTTTGAGTTAATTTTTGTATATGGTGTAGGGAAAGGGTCCAATTTCATTCTCTTACATGTAGGTATCAAGTTTTCCTAACAACATTTATTGAAAAGACTGCCCTTTCCTCATTGACTGGTCTTGGCACCCTTGTCAAAAATCATTTGACCATACATGCAAGGGTTTATTTCTGGGCTATTTCATTCTGTTGCTCTGTATGCCTGTCTTTATGCCATTACCACACTGTTTCAATTATTATAGCTTTGTAGCATGGGTTTCCTTTTTATTTTTGAAATACACACTCTCTTTCTGGCTCATGTTGAGTTCTTTAACCACTTTGAGTGTTGCCTGAAGAGACTGGCACTCTCTGTAGTACACAAATTTAGCCAGGATCCCAGGGACAACTGTGCAATCGGGTGCAGGGGAAGGGGCAACAAGCAGTTAAGTCATTCAACATGGTGTCTGGTTTTTTGGAAAAGAAAAGGCACAGTCGCTAGAGTAAAACTGTATGCCTTTATTCAACATAAAATGACTCTAAGATAAAATACACTTTGTCCATGTGCAGAAACATTATTATACATTCAATTCTGAAGAAGGTAGTTTTATACGACCAATAAAAGGAACAATCTAAAAGTGAGAGGAATAAAGACAATAGTGAGAAGGACCTAAAAGGCAGAGTTTTATCTGTCAAAGTGCTAAGGCCTATGTGCACAAAGATTTTAAAGTGAACACCACCAACCCAAGGTCATTTCTTCCATTCTGATTTCTCTTGATGCTGGTGAAAGTCTTAAGGTGTGATGCAGTCACTGAGTTAAGATGGGGTTTAAAAAAATAGGTCATAGCACTTATGGCTAACAGAAAAGTTTTTAATTTCTAGAGTTTCATTTGTCATGTACTCTAGATCATTCATGGATTCTAGAAATTTCATGAATTCTCTAAGAACAAACTCGCCCTTCAATCAGTAGTTTATCATCAGAGAACAAATTATCAGGTCCTACCCAGCCCAGAATCTATCCCCTTATGCAACAAAGGGGAAACCAAATTTGCAAGACTGGAAGAGTTTCATTAATTTAAAGCTTGTGCAAAGTGATTACATATAGGTTCAGCTAGGGTCACGACTGAAGTCTTCATATTATTACTGCCTGAAAACCTAAAATGAAAAGAATCACTTACTTAGGGTCAAAGTCCAACTTTATCATTTCCAAGCTTGAGGTATCTGAAAACATTAGACACTAGTTTTTGCAAAGAACTGACCCCAGAAACGTAAAATTTTATGTACTAGACTTTCCATAGGAAGGACATAGGCTGTGTGTGAAATAATAGTTCTAAAGTATGTTCAGATATTTTGATAACCTTTAATACATTGCTTTATTATTGGGCTAATCTGAATTTTAAATATTTAAAAAGATCCATGATTAAAGTTAATAAAATTGTGTTGACTCACATTGGTTTAATAGCATTTATGAGCCAACGTTTGCACCACTTAACACAGATGCACAACCCTAAAACCCGATCTGCAGCAAAAGCTGCCACTAGATATTCAATAGAAAACCATTACTTAGCCCCAAACGTCTCAAATCAAATTTCATAATACACTCATGACAATTCAACATTGTATTATGTGAACCCAAAACCTAAAAAAAAAAATCAGTAAAAGATTAATTCATAGTTTACTTAAATCTATTTTAAATCCAACCTTGGGTTTACCTTTCTTCTCCCCTAGGCATTCTCTAAGTTTTGCAGTCAAGATGAAAATCAGGATACATTTTTAAAATTCCCTTTAGCTTCTTTTGAGCTTGAAGAGCCAGGAACATTGAGTTTGAAGTTATTCTTCAGGAGGACCCACTATCTAGTCACAGCTCATCTCCACAGCTGATCATCTCTGGTCTCCCTTCCAGGTTCAGTCTGTCCTTTCATGGTAAGGAAATGTTTCTAGGGATTCTCTTTTTAGGTTACAACTGAAAGCTACATGGAGGTATAGAGATTCCTTAGTTTATAGTCTCTATGAAAGAAACCCAACCTGCTGTTTAAGGTTACCAAGTACTAAGAAAATATAAAATATCCACTCTCCTACTTCCTGGACAATTGAGACTCTACTACATAGTGGAATACACCTAATACCTCTTTGGCTAAAAGGTGAACATGGATATTTTGGCATACAGAATTTAAGTTGCAAATCCAATAATCCAGGTTAAAGATAAACAGTAAAGAAAATTACAGAGCAAGCACTGACAAAATACAATGATTTATCTTTCTAAAATCTTTCTACCAGAAAGTCTTCAACTAAGAATTAGGGTTTAGGCCACTAAAAAAGGCTAGGGTCTTGCTAAAGCCTCTTGTAATTCAAGTTCTGTGACTTAGAGATGGAAAAAAAGCCCATTCTATTAGATTATTAGAATAAAATAGAACACTAATTTTATCCATTATGGAGAAAAAACAGGGATGCAACACCTCTTTAGGGATACACTGCCTTCTCACCAGACTACAAGATGAAAATCAAGGTTTTTTTTACTCCGTTTAAGCTTTTGGGTTTGAACAGTGACAAGAAAGCTGCACCATTTACCCAATTGTTATTTGAAATGATTAGTTGAACATAAGATAAAGCATCTTTACTGACATACTGACCAGAATTAATCGAAAGGGATTGCTTTTGGCCTGATTCTTTCCCTTCCATTTAGATTTTTACCAAGAGATTTCCTGAAATTTCTATTAACTCTAGATCTTCCAATGATAGTTCTCAAAAAAGGTAAATCTTATCCAACATGACTTGGGGAATATGCAGCATATATTACTCCTTGAGCCCTGAACTAGACACATGCTGTATGGTTACTACTTTAGGAAGACCTTTTACAACGCACATAGCTGCTTTTGTTCACCCTTGCATAACTAGAACTTTAGCACAGTGCTTGGCACATAGTGGTGCTCAATAAATATTTGTAGTGAATAACATGATTTGTACACAACAACAGCTAGAAACGTTATGCAAATCTCTGGTGAAGACCACTTGTGATCATGTAGCATCAACAGCAGTGACCACAGGTTTCTAAGACTCTGAGATGTAAATAAATGAACATTGGGGATCCATATTGAAGCTGTTTGTGTTCTGGTATATTGCTCTTTCTCACTCAACTGAAGACCTTCTCTACCTTTAGATTCCTATGTCATTACCTGAATATGAATTTTACTTCCAGTGAGGTAGGAGGCCTATTTAAATAATGTTAAATATGTACTAGACATGGGCACCTGTGTTGTTGCAAATGGTCATCATGGACTGGTTCACACACACATAAGTATTCCACCTTCATTCCTATTATATACGGGAATTATGAAGATGCACATGTTCCCTGAGACTTAAATTTCCTTTAGAACTAGTGTATCTTCAGCAACAATTTAGAGTGCTGTTCTCTTGGACGGCTAAACTATCTTCCATGTCTTTGGGCAACACTGATGTTTGAAATTTTTGAAAAATAATAAGGTTGTCTTTTGAAATGCATTCTATGTATCCTTATTAATTTCCAAAATGTTATTCTTATCAATGAAAATAACCACAGCTGAGCAATAATGGGGAGAACTAGTGAACTACAATTAAAGTCAGTTTCATGGGTCATTAAGACACATTCTTGAAATTCTGACCTTACTAATTTTTCTTTCAGGTCATTAATAAATCTATATATTATGCATTTTTAAACAATGGGCTATATATCCTTTATTTCCAAAGACTATTTAGGTATCATTTTGCTTGCTCAACCATATCCTAAGACCAAGTATTTCCACCACAAAATTTCTTCTCTTGGACAGCAGGATTCCCGATTATCTCTAGATATGGGACTCGGGACAAATAACCCCTTCTAACAACTGGTTCTGTCACTTCCATGAATGCCCTTCCTGACACTAGGGAGATGAAAATTCTAGTTCTCCTAGCTCTTCTACCTCTCCAGATCAATCAGGAAGGACATAAAACTGGCTACGAAACTCACTTCTCAGAGAAGAATTGGGAAACAGAAAAAGTTTTCTATTATCTTCATGAGACTATTTCTTCACATACCTCTACAGCCTGGAAGGTGGTGGCAGTGAATGCTTGCTAATGAATTATTAACCACTGTGGAGAAAGGAAAACCTGTCTTTTCCACTGAGATATTTTCTCACCATTCTTTGTTTTAGAAGCAAACAATGGGCACATTGAAATAAAGAATGTACTGTAGCTTCTTGTTTATTTTTTACTTTCCCAGTAACATTAGGTGGTTAGGAGACACAACAGTTCAAGAGGAAAAACATAGAGACAAGCAGGTTAGGAGAATTTAATATTTACTCGAGTTCTGAAAGAAATACGCTACCCTGATTTATCACCAAATTCCTCATTTTACTCTCTTCTATACAATCTGTGGTAATCTTCCAATAGTAGCATAAGGCAACTGAGGACCCTCACCCACAACACTCTCAGACATATGTCAGACCTCAAAATTCACCAAAAGCTCCAAGGTTTTTATTTTCACTTTAATTATCTTTTACTTAATAATAAAATGAAAAATAAGAATATATGAATACATACAATCTATATACATATATTTATTGCAAATACTTAAAATTCTTATGTAAAATGATTTTCTATATTGTGAAAAAATATGAATTTTTAAATGGTGTTGACACCAACTTCTCTGTACATACCCTCAATTCCAATGTTAACAATTCCTTTAAAAAGGCAAAAGACACAAAAGTTTATCATTTACCAAACCAGTCTGTACAAACCTTATAGCTAGAAGGGAAAAAAAAAATAGCTTGTGGCAAATAAGTCAACTTTCTTTTAAAATAAAAAATAAACTCCAAAACCATTCCCCTTATTGCGTTTTTTGGAAATAATCTGAGTGTCTTTAGAGTAACTTCCTTTGAAATCATTTGTGCCTTAACAGTGAGGTCCTACATTAAACATACCATATATGAGAAATTCAAAGTCTTCCACTGTCAATTTTTACATAGATATTAAAATATATATTACTTAAAATATATTACTGGAAAGCTATTTTTAAAATTGATCTTTAATAGTTGTATCAAATGTAAAGCATTAAAAAAAATAAAGTAACCAAGAATCTATGAAGCTCTTACTTCAACTTTAGGAAATGTTTTACCTATTGTTCTCTTTCAATAGGTATGTAGGTATTGAAACATGGTAGGAAAGATCCCTGCCTATCATCATGTTTCTGAGTCTCTTTGGACTATTCTATAAATTGAGCTGAAAACTACCCTTGGCCAAGTTTTTTACTTAGCACATTGTTGTAATACAGCAGGGAGACTTTTCTCTCCTTGCTGTGAAGTGAAACCTCTGGGTCACAGAGAAAACAATCCTGGCACTGCTCATGGACAGTGAGTTCTAGAAATAAATAGCGATACAATGACCAGAGAAGACCTCCTCATTATAACAAACCATTTCACCCAAGAGTTAAGGACTCTAAGGTGGAGAAAGGCAACAGTAAGCAATTAGGATGGTAAATGTCAGGTTGTTAATATGTATGAATTTACACTTTCACATGGAAGGCAATGAGGTCTTCCTTTGGCTATTTATTTAAATCTCAGATAATTCCTAAAACAGCTACATCTGTGTGCCTTCCCAGCTCACGCAAGTATGTTTCCCCTACCCCAAGAAAAATTTCCCATTTGCCAAATCTTATTCTTAAGGACGTTACATAGGATACCACAGATAGCTTCAGTATCTTGAGCATTGGGGTTAACGAACAGAAGTAGGGCAAACAACTCCAGGTTATTTGGCTTTATTTTTTAATAGGATGGAGAATTTTAATCAAAATTCTTTAAGACTCAAGAGAGCCTTCTCTACTAGACAACTTAGAACATGAGATGATATATCCTTAATGCAATCTACCCCAGGGGACCTTCAGTGGAAGGTATCTGAAGGCTCAAGAAGCATCCCCTGGAGACATAAGCACCAGGCACAATGCCTGACTAGTCACTGGAAATAGTGCAATTTAATACCATGAAAATAAGCTTAGCACTTATCAGAAACATTTCAGATTGAATTGCAAGGTAAAGTAACTGAAAACCTAAGATAAAAACTGCTTTAAAGGTACTGGAGTACATACTCTAATAATTTAAAGATTTTCTTGTTCCTGCTGCTTCATTTGCAAAAGGGCCAGACTGTAATGGTTTTGTTTCGTTTTGTGTTCAGTTCGTAAGATGAATGACTTTCTACTTGAAACCAGTGTTTTGAAACAAATTGATAAATGGATTGTATTCAATTTACTACCAATCTAAGAAAATCTAACTATTCTCTCATTTGGTCAACATTGAGGCAGTGTACTTAGTTGACAACTTCTGTTTTAGGGGCATTCATAAACGCAAATATTTTATTAGCTGGGTATTATTTGTTAAGAGAATCTGGTGAAAAGTAATGCTTAGAATCTATCTGCAAGAGCCTGGGTCAAGATGCAGAGGCACAATATGGTTTGCTCTCTAAAAGGACTTGAAAATCCCTGATGCCTTTCCTCCTTTCCTGGTTAGTCTGTCCATCCTCAGATTAAGGGAACCATGGAGGAGAGACTTTCTACGACAGGAAAGGTGCGAAAAAGAAAACTGACCAATCCAAATTGGTAATTAATGTTTAGCACGGGGTCAGCTCTGAAACACTCAACCACTTCTAGCACGCAGACCAGCCCTCAGTCCTGCCAGTAAAGTAGGGAGTGAAGAAGCTGGCCATGGAGAGTTTTAACTAGCAATAGGTCTTTTTAAACCCCCCTTGGATTACCCAGGGTACTGCAAATTTGGGAACAGAACCATGGTTTCTGTTTCCTATAGGTTCTTGCCAGAGAACTTACTCCTTATCCCTGGATCCATGCAGCCTTCGTATCTGTTACCTATGTGTGTGCTAGAAGAAAAGGGAAGTTAGAAGGATATCATGTTGTCTTGGCTGAAACTAGCACACAGATATTAATCCTGTATTTGCCTTGGGCCACAAAAAAACCAGAAACAAAAAATGAAAAATAGTGAAGTAGTAAGTTTTTTATGGGGTTTGAAAGTATTAAGAGTGTATAATGCGGAGGGTAGGGTGGGGAGGAATGGGGTAGTCGAATGGGGGCAAAGCAAAGATTATTACTGCCTAGTTTATGCTAATCTGGAATGTGACTTAACAAGTTTACACAGTCCTGCATGCTGTAAATATCACATCCTGAATATTAAGTACGACGACAACCATACCAGGTTGCAGTAATATTTTTACTTTACACACTTGAAATTAGGAAACTTGAAATCAATATGCAAATGATGCACATTGACAATACCCGGTTTTTTAATACCAAATTCTGGTAAACTGTAGATTTATTTTAAAGTTCTTTAACCATGACCTAAATATATGTACTCAAAAGTTCTTCAATCACTAGAGACAGGATTAAAAATACAACAAAAAAGGAAACAAAAAAGAATAAACAAAAACAAACGACAACAATGAAACTTTGGAGCTAATTTCTCTTCCTTTCTAGATGTTCTCTTAGCCATTCACTGAAGCCCTTTTATGTTAGAAATTTCTAGTGCATAGACAGTAGTAATCCAAACAGGGGACTTATTCTTCTAAAACAGAAAAGTGTCTGACTTTTACTCTGTGTGTGCACACGTGTGTGTTCAAAGTAATGTGTAACAGACTACTCCATACTCCTCAGATGCCTGGGAGGTCAAAACAGGTTTACCAAAATGGGCAAATGTGGCATGAATGAGCTTTTCCACCTGCAGCAATATGACTATAGAATATTAGGTAACAGGCTGGGAGAGAAGAGGAAAAGAGAGGCTACCTTGTTTCTAGTGTTAAAATCATCTTCCAAGGTTCTTTATGTTCAGTTTAACAGTTTCTGTACCTTTACTCCCCTTGCCCAACAAAACACAGTTCAAATCACCCCATCACTAACACTTTTCTGTTAAACTTCATACTTCTATTTCAAACCTGTTTGTAAGCTCCCACAAATAATTAAGTACTTGGATATTATTGCTGGAATTGTTGCCCTGCACAGGCTATGGTAACACAGGGGCCCAGAGAGGATACTCTTCATGGACCACATTCACTGACTCAGGGCAGGGGGCATGGGATTGGGGAACAGCAGGAATCCGCAAATTGCAAGCAGAGTGCTTGGCAAGAGTTCTGGTTTATGGAAGAACCAAGCCAGAGCTTTCAGAGTCTGAAACACTACTTGTGAAATTAATACTCTATCAAAAATTTGAACTTAAGAAGGTTCCGTCTAAGGTAAAAGGACTGAGTAAACCCTGAATCCAAATCCTGCAAAGGCTGAATAATCTACTAAAGCCTGCAGTCAGACTGTCAAGACATAATCAGCATGAATGGTCATTTCTCCAGACCATTTCTTCACTCCTTCTTTTTCCTAGCCTCCTAGGAAAGGACAGAAGGGAGAGAGCTTCCTTTCACCATGCATGGCATTCAACGTTTGTCAGAGTCACGTCAAGTGGGACATAAATCTGAATTCAAAGTAACACATTATTACCTAAACACTTGGAAAAATAATGTTAAAATGTGACATATTTACATGATTTTGTAAGTGCAAACTTGTCACAAATACACAAAGTCTTGCTTGACTCAGACTTACTATACAAGGTGCTCTTCCTCTAAAATGTAAAGATCTATCCTCTGTATTCCTGATTAAGTAACATTTGTCTCTTAAGACAACTGAAACCTGTTTATTTCTGTGATTCCAAAAGGACGCAAAAAAACACATCTTGTCAACCCTTCCCTTCCTGCCTCCTTTACAGTGTTCTCTTTCCAGTCTCATTACCGAACGACAAGGCAGGAGACACACAGTTTAGAGGGGCCAATGCAATCATCGTGGCAGAAAGCTCCACATCCCTTGCACATGATCATGGCTTTCAAACGGCAGTAACATTTTGAAGGCGTGTCCTCTATGCTGTTCTCTTCAGGAAAGGCCTGAACAGGAATGGTCTGGCCATGGCTGCTGGGGTTCATAGCTTGGCTAGCAGGGATGGTAGTGACAGTCACTGAAAAGGACATGACATCACCTATGTTACTAGATACCTGGCTATAATCAGGCATCCCTGGTACAGCAGAGTTATGGTCCATGTCAGATGAGGTGGAGACATTGATCATGCCTCTGTAGCTCGGCCCAATCTGTGTGGGGCTTCCATACAGCTTTGGGGTTTGCAGTGGTGGAAAGAGGAGAGACTGATGGGTGGGACTGTCTGCAGGTAGAGGAAGGGCCGTAGAATTGAAAAGCTCAGGGCTGCTACGCATTGTCTTACCTCTTACCGCGTGAGCCATTTGCTTCTGCGCTGCCTGAATAAAATCTCTGGCTAGGGTCTTTTCATCAAATGTTTGGCCTCTAGTGAACAGGTAATTCTCCTTGATTAAAGTAGTTTGCTCATGCACTGGTGTCTCTCCCTTCAGATTCTTTTTAGCTAAACAATCATCGGTGGATAGGGTTTCTCTATTGTGGGGTCCTGAACTTGATTCACACTTGCCAGAACTCTGGGAAGCCTGGGGCTCCTCCTTCACCATGATAGGTTCTTGCTCATCACCAGTACTTTCCTCATCAGTGTCATCTTCTTTGCTGCTGCTACTATCTCCTGTTGCATTTTTACAGTCTGTATATCCCATTTTCAAGGCCTCAGTGGGGCTACTTAGACAAAAACGGTCTTCAGGGTTTACAGAATGGGTCCTCCTAAAGCTCTCTGAACCCCGGCCATAGGTGGAAATGTTAAGTAAGTAGTGACCTGCCATTGCAGGCTTCGATGTCCTTCTGCCAGCAAAACCCAGCATGAACCTCTGGCTTGTGGAGATGTCTTCTAGCTGGAAACCTGAGTGAGTGAAGTTGAACTGGGAGGGCTGCACAAATGAGGGAACATTTTGCCTCCGAACCCTTTGGATGAGAGTCTGAAGGATCTGATCTTGGGTTGCTTTACTTAGTCCTTCCTGGTATTGGTGTGTGTCAATGCTCGAGTCCCTTAGATCCTTACCTGAAAAGAGCTGAAGGGGTCTTGGAACCTGGGGGAGCTGCTTATTCTGCAAGGTTTTACCCAATTGCTGTACAGCTAGATGAGACTGCCTCTCATTAACCTCCTCTCTGGTGCTATTTTCTGTTATGTTGGTGCCCGTGAGAGCTACTATCCCCTTTTCCTCTTTTGCAGTCAGTGGAACAGTTTTCATTTCAACTTTGGTGAGAGGTTTAGGCAGAATTTGCTCCATAGGAACATCTTTGCCCTGGAGTAGCTGAGTGACCAGAGGATTATTAGCAGGAATACTAGAGCTTGGCCTTGAAATGGGTCCATTCATATTTGAAGAAATTCCTGGAATTTTAAGGCTAGAAGCTGCTGGCAAAGTGCTCAAGGATGGAGCTGATCCAGTAGGTGCTACAGTTACACTGACCTGGGGTACAGGAAGCTTTTCTAAAGTGGCTGTTGTTAATAAAGATGTTAAAGGGGAGGGAGTCATATCCACTGAAGCACTAGCATTTGTTTCTGCTGAGGCTGAAGGGTTTGGTGTATTCTTAGCAGAACCTGCTTTGGGCTCAATTGTGCCATCAGCAGTAAAATGAGCAGGATCTGCTGGAGTAGAAGGTGCTTTCTCCTGCCAGCAATTACTGGGCCCTTGTGGGTGGCTTAGAGAGGCCACTGTGGCTGTTGCTCTGGTGAGATTCAGTTTTTCATTATTCAGTTTCACTAAAGCTGGTGGGGGTGCGTTAGTGTGGGCTGGTGAGGGGACACTTGTGCATGCTCCACTAATGGCAGATGTTGGAGGCACTGAGGGGGTTTGCTGTAGTTGTGCTCCAGAGACACGATGAGGCTGTGCCTGGCCTGGGGTCTTGGTCTCAGATTGGGGCTGAGTGTCTGGACCACAGGGTAAAAGCTCTCTCGTACCTCCCCTGCTTCCAGTTCCTGCCAGTTCCAGTGTGAGGCCCTTTCCAGTTTCACCGACTCTCTCTGAGTTTGGACTCCCTCCTCTAGCAGTTTTCCTTTCACCACCCTCTCCTGGACCTTGTCCACCCCCTGGGCCAGGTCCTGGAATGGTCCCTCCAACTGAGGCGGCTGCAGCAGCTGCGGCTGCAGCGGCAGCTGCTGCCCTCTGTGCTTTGACCAGCTGGGCTTTTGCTTTGATGTCTGCAAGAGTTCTGGCTCCTGTTCTGTTAGGACTAGTGATGGAGACTGGAAAACGAGCCCTGGGAGAGACCTGTGATGTAGGAAACGGCATGGGGGAGATTCTGGAGACCGGGATCTGAAAGAAGCAGGGGGAAGAAAAAACAACAGAGTTTAGTTTTCATTTATAACAATAACAAAATTTCATTAACACTTAAATTTTTAGAGTAGAGTGAATGCTATAAAAGCTGTGACAAAGATGGGAGGTCTATGGCTGAGAGACCAAACCATGGAGACAGCAATACAACTTTGTCTCTAGGGTCCTTCCACCTCCTCTGTTGGTGCCAAGGACTCTCCTCCCCCTACATCCACTCCCACCCCAAATCCCCATAGCACTTTTCTCAACACAACCCTCTCCTAATGTCACTACTACTCACAACTGCTTATTATTTAAGATATAGACCTTTCTATGGTACCCACATTTTCGAATGTGTGTGTGAGAGAAGAAAGAACAGAAAGAAAGAAGTAGCACACCATTACTGACTTCTACTTCTTAGCTTTACCAGCAAGGTCCAGGGGAAAATTCTTGCTCTCTTCTGTTCCACACACACACACACGCATGCACAGTAAAGCATACAGGCTGAATTATCTCAAATTACAGAGGCTTCTAAATAGCACTGGAAGGAAAACAGTGTGTGATCCACAGGTGCACCCCACTCTGCCCACCCACATCAGGGAGTATGTATACAATATTTACCACAGTCATTCTCATCCCTGGCTGACATTATACTTACTTGCGTAGCTTTTTAAAAATATATATGCTCTGAGTCTTATCCCAAAATTTATAAATTAGAACCCCTAGGGGAAAAAACGCTTTTCTAAAAAGCTTCTTCTGAGATTCTGATGTGTCACCAGGTTTGAAACCACTGATTGTCATATCATAAAATGCCATATCTGAAAGAAATCTAACACCTGTTTGAAACAATACTTTGAGAGCTACTGGAGTTAATTAGAATGCATCAAGATCTAAACCCTTCTAGTAGCTGGTAGAATTTAAAGGAGCAAATAACTGTTACAGATGTTCTAGGCCATTTATTAAATAAAAAAATAAAAAAAATAAAAATTAAGCCACTAATCGCCAAGAAAATGCATGTCATCTTTCTGGAACTCCTTAAATTAAGAATAATAAAGTCACTAAAGATTTTTCATTATTTGCAATAACCATTTCTCAAAAGGTCAGCAGTCCTGAAAAGCTGATTCTCCATCATTCAGAAGTTAGAGCTGTGGGGTCGTGTAACAGTTGTCTGAAGTCCACATATTTCACATCAAGAGATGTACCTAATCTCTCTCCTAAAGCTGAATCTATTTTACATCCAGTTGCACACAGGATTTTAGAAGCTGCCCACAGTAAGAAGCAATTGTTGCCCCTTAGTAATATCATCTAGAAGAAACCATTAACAAGGGAAAAAATAGATAAAACTAAAAAATTATGTACAAGCAACTAAAAGCACAGCTGTTTAGGGGAATTATAGAGAGGGACAAACAAACTGACATTAGAATAATCTTGAGAGTAACAACATACCTAGCACAACAAATGATATCTATCATAATGACTAATGATTAATAACATGTTGATTAAATAAGGACAATCATTAAAAGTAGTTAAAATAAAAAGTTTTAATACTTAAAAATAATGTTTCAGTTATTTATCTAAATAGCCCTATTACCTGTTTATATGGAATAAATGAGATGTTATACTTTCTTTTTAAGTACAAAACCACTCAAAGTTGTTTAGGCATTGACAACAATTGAACAATTTAATTTACTAAGAAGCCGTACCCTGGTACCGCAAAGGAATAGATTCTTTTCTTTTTAAATGTATACTAAATGGAAAATATATAATGTGTGTTAGAGTTTTCCATCTCTCTCTCTCTCTGCACACGTTATATGTTATATGATATGCACATATAAATAACATACATATATATGCACATATATAATTTTCATATACATATACATGTGGAACACTGTAATAAAATTCAAATTTTATTTTTCTACTTAAATTTTGTTTGAAAGGTTTTGTTCAGTTATAAATGACAATAAGCTTTGTCTAAGTGGGATTTGAAATAGGGTCTAAGGTGAGTGACTTACTAAACAACTTCTGGTAGAAAGTCTTCTGGGGGGATGAGGAAGGAGAAGAAAGTAAAATAAAGGAAAAAAAATTAAATAATATTAACTTGGTCACAGTGGATTTAAGTTTTCAGTCTAGAGCCTCTTTGGATTAGCAGAAAGCAGACCGAATATGATGTAATCCAGCCTCTTTACAGATGAGGAAATAGAAATGATAGATCTTAGTGTCATTTATAAAAAGTAACCTAAATTACAACTCAGCTCTCAGGTCTGCAGATAAGTTCTGATTGACATTCTTTAAAGAAAGGTTTCTAATATTTTTTATAAGAATAGTAAAAAATTATTATCATAAAAATCAGAATCTATGGCAAAGCATGACAGTATATGTTAATGGCAGAAAAGTAAAAAAGAGAGATCCTTAAGTGCTGAAACTACAAATCTTAAAATTTAAAAATAATGAAGAACACCATATTATTAGCAATAGGAAGCAAAAGGAGAGAGGAGTCACATAGTGCATGAAATGGGTCAAGTACTAGTAAGTGAATGTTTCCAAAGGATATTTCCTAATAGAACTAAATGGCTCACCTAAGTTAAATAAAAAAAGGAAAAAAAGTGCTTCTATTTGGCTTATTTTTCTATTTATATTCTAATGTGAATAAATAATACCCAGTGCCTGGGCTCATAGCAGACACAACAGGCATTAATAAATACTATTAATAAAAATGTATTGGGCCGGCCCAGTGGCACAAGTGGTTAAGTGTGTGCACTCCGCTGCGCTGGCCGGGGGTTTGCCGGTTCGGATCCCGGGTGCACACCAATGCACTGCTTGGCAAGCCATGCTGTGGCGGCATCCCATATAAAGTGGAGGAAGATGGGCACAGATGTTAGCCCAGCGCCAGTCTTCCTTAGCAAAAAAAAAAAAAAAAGAGGAGGATGGGCAGATGTTAGCACGGGGCTGATCTCCTCACAAAAAAAAGAAAAAAAAATGTATTAATAAATAAATACTATTAAATGAATGAATGGACTGCAAATTGATATTAAGCACAAGCCCAAGTATTAATAAACCTTTAGATCAGAAGAAAAAATGTGTTTAGATTTAAAAGGGCTCACTACCGGTTAGGTGCAGTCTTATATACTAAGATAGAGACACTGCTATAGGAATTTAAAACATTTGATATGCAGCAATTTAAGGCTAAATGGAAGGTAATGACATATCCTAAGCAGTAGAGCTTAGGATAGGCTTATCCTATCCTAAGCAGTAGAGCTTAGTAAGGCTATTCCATCTTACTAATCTCTCTCAAGTAACCGGTAGTGACTCATGATGGCAGTCACACACATTTCCTTTAAAAGGATGGAACTAAAGTAAAGTAGTTCTAGACCCACAGAACATCGAATCAGTTATGGCAATAAGAAAAGGGCCAAAGTACACTTAAATATCATGGTGCTTGGTACAAAGATACAATCTCTTGATCACACCAAAGACCTCCTCATGTTTATTATCATACTTCTTATTTTGTTACATGAGACAGAATAATTTCCATAACTGTCTTAGGACACAAGAGTAGCTAGCAGGGAGTGGGTGGAGGTGGTTTACATTAGCTATCCAGGTACCCTACTTATTCAAACACCAACAAAGATCTGTAAGTATGCAGTTCTAAATGCCTGTTTATTAATAATTTTATTCATAAGACCACAGTTACATGCATATCAAACATATATAATTGCTTTTGCATTAAGAAACACCACAAATTACTTGAAATTTAGTGGGTATGACGAAACACTTAGTGCTCAGACCATCTCTCTTTTTCAATTCTTCCCATTCTCTTACCTTGAGAGGTGGTACTTTTCGCACCTGGATCCTGTCCCCTCTATTGAGAAAGGGCTGTGGAGAGACTTGAAATGGCTGCTGGTGCTGGCGAGTCTCAGCGACACGTGGCCTTTTCTCCCAGCTTGTAGCGGCCTCTTCTTGGGTGAGAGAAGCTTTCCTCTTGAGGCTTTCTGGGCTGTGGTCAACCAGAGCTGATGGAGGCTCTTGCATAGGGGTCTCCTGTGAACCTGCTTCTACTATGGGCTTCATCACTGGTTTTTCCATCCCAGGACTCTTGGATTTGCTCTGGGATGTAACTAGAGCTTCCTGGCTTTCATTTTTGTTACAATTAGAAGCTGCAGTGAGATGATTCTCTTTCTCAGACTCCTGTTCAGCAGAGGCAACTGGCTTCTGCTCCAACTGATCCTCATCCTTTGGACACTTGATGGAAATAACACTGTTAAGCTCATCTGCATCGCTAGCTGGGGAAAGTAGGGGCTCTGTGGATTTGGAGTTTGGCTGCACCTTATCTTGGCTTTCATGCTCCTCTTTTCTGACTGGTGATGGCATTTGTACTACTTCTTCTTTAGACTCTAACTGGGGAATTACTGGGACTATACTGAGAGGAGAGGGCTCTGAAGGAAGCATGGATTTTGATTGCTCAGCTGGGGTTTTCTTTACTTTGGGATCACTGGGTGAAGCTGTTAATTTCTTTGAATCCTCAAGGCTCAGACCAGAACTAAAAGGTGGAAGAAAGAAATATTCTAGTTGAGAAATGGCCCATGTTATTGAAGGCATCATGAGACAATGGTATATGGCAATGCCTAGAAGAACCAATGACACGTAGTAGGTATTATTCATATATTATCTTCACTATTACTATTAGTGAAGGTTCTGGAGCCAGAGTACCTGGATTCAAATCTGGGCTCTGATATTGACTATCCATGTGATATTAAGTAAGTGACTAGTCTTCTGTACCTCAGTTTCCTCAACTGTACACTGAGCTTAATCACTTTATAGTGTTGCTGTGATGACTAACTAAGTTAATGCATGTAAAGTACTTAGAACAGTACTTAGCATATAATAAAAAGCTCACTAATGTTAATTATTATTACTTCTGCTTATAAAGGGGCTACATTGTCTAGAGGCATGCATCACAGACTACCCACAGGGGAAGTGAAAGAAGGCCAAGACCCATGCACCCCATGATTGTGAGTTTGGACTGTCATCAACTCTGCTTCGCAGAACCTGTAGAAAGGCTGGCCCAAGAAATCTAAGAAACCTTGAAGAGACAGTAGGAGAGCTGGCTGTCAATGTTCTCCAGAGATTGAGAATTATAACTCTGAGTTTTTGGAAAACCTGTTTAAATTTCACTTGGCATAGCTCTAAAATTCTGAGATCGAGTGGCTCTGAGCTATCCTGGGAGTGAAGGCCAACTGGGACGTCCACAGTGTGGCCTGGCTAAGAGCAAGCCTACTCTGTGGGGCTCACTAGAGACTCCTCCTAATGTTTTAGAATACTGTTTCACAGGCAAAAACAATGTAGCACTCTTTGGTGATTTCAAATAATCAGTACTGCACCTCTGAGATAGAATGGCTGAGGATAAAACTGGATAGTAATCAAAAAGAGTCATGCTATAAAAGCTGGCAAAAAGTAACAGCTGAAAAGAGAAAGACCCAAGAATTGCTATAATGCTCTAGCTGCCTAATAAGGAGGGAATGAACAATGTTTATGGAATAACAGCTAACTATAATAATGGCCTAAATGTATACACCATCACTTCTATGGAAGAGCTCAAAGCTCATACCAAGAACGTAGAAAAATCAGTGTATAAGACTCTTAATCTCAATAGGAATCACTTCCTAAATGACCATGAAGGGGATCAATGAATACTACCTGGAGATAAGAAAAAGAGCCATTAGTTCTCAAGCTGTGGTCACGGGGTCTCCTTAAGGGCTGCCGGTAGGTATGCAGAAGGAAGGAAGGGAGACTAACAAACAAACAAGACTCTGGGTGTTCAATCCTGTTGCAAACAATACAGCTCCATTGTCATCTATTTAAACGAACGTCCCCAATAAGATTTCATTTGGATTTTTTATTAGAAAAAAATTGATTTAGAGTATGGCCCCTTGAGAACAGGGTTTGTACCTTGATCCAGCTATGTATATCTCCCAGAGTGCCTTCTACAAAGGAGAGGCTGTGTAACTACACGTTGGATATAATGGCCCACATTAAGGATTCCTGTGATTCCTTAGTGATTCTGGATAAGTTATATTGTGGGATAATTAACTACTATAAAAAATGCACAGAATTTCAGTATTCTGTTATCTTATAAAGTTACTGGAAGAGAAGCCAATCTATTCTAAGAATGGGACTCTAATTCAAGACAATAAAATCTTTCTTTTTTTCCATCTCATCCACAATGGTAATGTGTTAAGAGTCACGGATTATGAGTAATCCAATTCTGTGCACCTGAGATTCATAAAAAAAAAAAATTTTCTCAGTAAAGAAGAATTGGTGAAAAAATAGAAGGAAATTGAGGACTAGATTTTCTGGAAAAGTAATAAGATGAAGCACCACATGACATATATGCAGGAATTAACATTTGCTTTACAGAACCTGTATTGATATTACCTCTGACCATAGTAGCTTTCAAAGAATTGTTCTTTCCATGGCTCCACTTTTTTCTCCTTCTCAATCTCTTGTCGAATTCTCACCTGCATCTCAGGTGTAAATTCACCTGTAATGTACCAAAAAAAAAAAAAGATATTCAACAGAAATATGCTGTTTGCAACTTTTAACTTTTTTGTAAATCAGGAAAGACTTGTGCAAGAGTCAGAATACTATCATGTGAAAGTAACAGAAATTTTCCCAAATTCCTCACTGTGAGGGAGTACCTAAATGCCAGTAGGTGAAATAAAAATACTTGCACACCACTCCACGTAGTTTTCAGGACTCAGCTGAGGTCAACTGGGCCTTTTCTTTGGCCTTTCCTTGTACCACCTCCCTCCTGCTCCAAACATCATATTCCCTATAGATTTCTTTTATCACCAACCTTGAATTTGTAATTTCTCTTCCACTGGAAAAATAGTCATGTGCTTTCAATAAATAATGCCACTGGGCATTTTATTATTGTAAAGTTCTGTTTCTCCAAGGCAACTTGTATTTTAGGGCTTTTATCTCTAACTGCATAAGGAACAGCTATGGCCCTGCTTAAAGACATTTGAAGTTTCAGTAAAAAGGTAGGGAATTATTTTGGAGTTGTCAGTTTTCTAATTGTTCTAGAAATTGTACCAGTCTAGTGCCCTCGTAACAAGACACTCAACACGTCAAAGACCCAGCTGCTCTGATTATGCCATTTATTTGCATATACTACCAACCACCTCAATCTTTCCCACTCCATCAGCAGAGAATAGTGAATATGCTTGGCAGGCCATCCTCAAACTTGTGGCTCAGGAAGGCTGTTCCCTTTATACTTTAATACCCATGACATCACGGAATAAGAGGTGGAAATGTCAAACCTGAAGTTTAAGACTTCCTGAGGGTAAGAAGAAGGAAACGTGTTAGAGGACAGTGGGTATTACAGTCCTGGACATTAGAGTAGGAAAGGAGGAATTTGGCTGTGAGAATCCAACCCAGAACTTCTGCTCTTTTATTGAGTCTACAGTGCATGATAGAATGAGGAATAAAAAGTATTGAACTCTGTTCACATGTGTACAGTGTTCAAAGTTTTTTGCTGCTCATAAAATATGATCACATGATTATAATAAGCATAGCAGTAACTGCTCATATGCCAAAAAAAGTAACTCTAATAATAATCAAGCTATCACTGTTGATGATACCTACTTTAAAAAATTCAGGGGTTGGAGGTGTAAATCATTTACTAAATTACTGGCAAAGGGCCGGCCCCACGGCTTAGTGGTTAAGTGCGCGTGCTCCGCTGCTGGCGGCCCGGGTTCGGATCCCGGGCACACACCGACGCACCGCTTCTCCGGCCATGTTGAGGCCGCGTCCCACATACAGCAACTAGAAGGATGTGCGCAACTATGACACACAACTATCTACTGGGGCTTTGGGGGAAAAATAAATAAATAAATAAAATTATAAATTACTGGCAAAGAAAACTACTGATAATGGGTATGTTTTAAAGTGCTTATGTGATTTCAATTCTTTCAAGAAAAAAGGGGTCTCTGCTCAAGGAAATCTTTAAGAAAGAAAGACGAAAGTAATAAACAAGAGATCACTTCTACAAAAAATTTGCTCTAAAAAGAAAAACAGGAGGGGAAAAGTAAACAATTATAGTGAACAATATAGACATTAATTACCTGGTCAATTAACTTTAATTGTCAGTGATCTGACAAAAAGCAAGCAATGAATAGCATTCCTAATGTTCTCCTTATAAATGTATTTATTTTAAAACTTCTCACACTTGTTTTAAGCTATTCCTTGGCATAACGTCTATGACTTTACACATGTTAAGTTTGTATTCCACGTGTACTGAAAAACAAACGTGATATTTACTTATTTATTTTATTTATTATTATTTTTTTAATTTTATTTATTTATTTTTTCCCCCAAAGCACCAGTAGATAGTTGTATGTCATAGTTGCACATCCTTCTAGTTGCTGTATGTGGGACTCGGCCTCAGCATGGCGGGAGAAGTGGCGTGTTGGTGCGCGCCCAGGATCCGAACCTGGGTCGCCAGCAGCAGAGCGTGCGCACTTAACCACTAAGCCACCGGGCCGGCCCAAACGTGATATTTAAAATAAAAATAATACAAAGAAGAACAAAGCTGGAGGTATCATACTCCCTGATTTCAAACTATACTACAAAGCTATAGAAATCAAAATGGTACAGTACGGCACTGGCATGAAAAAAGATACATAGATCCATGGAATCAAACAGACAGCCCAGAAATGAAACCCACACATATATGGTCAACTAATCTATGACAAAGGAGGCAAGAATATACAATGGGGAAAAGACAGTATCTTCAATAAATGGTGTTGGGAAAACTGGATAGCTACATGCTAAAAAATGCAAATAGACCACAATCTTATACCATATACAAAAATAAACTCAAAATAGATTAAAGACTTGAATGTTAGACCTGAAACCATTCAACTCCTAGAAGAAAACACAGGCAGTCAGCTCTTTGACATCAGTCTTAGCAAGATTTTTTTGGACTAGTTTCCTCAGGTAAGAGGAACAGAAGAAAAATAAACAAATGGCATTAGACCAAACTGAAAAGCTTTTGCATAGCGAAGGAAACCATCAACAAAATGAAATGGCAACCTACCGAATGGAAGAAAATATTTGCAAATCATACATCCGATAAGGGGTTAATGTCCAAAATATATAAAGAACTTATACAACTTAATATCCAAAAAAACAAACAACCCAATTAAAAAATGGGCAGAGGCAAGACATGGAAGCAACCCAAGCATCTCTCGACTGATGATTGGATAAAGAAGATGTGGTATATATATACCATGGAATACTACTCAGCCATAAAAAAAAGACAAAATCGTCCCATTTGCAACAACACGGATGGACCTGGAGGGTATTAAGTGAAATAAGCCAGAAAGAGAAAGACAAACACTGCATGATTTCACTCACATGTGGAAGATAAACCATCACATGGACTGATAGAACTGTTGAGTGGTTACCAGGGGCTAGGGGGGTGGGGGGTGGGCACAAGGGGTAGAGGGATGCACTTATATGGTGACTGATAAACAATAATGTACAACAAAAATTTCACAAAAAAAAGAAAAAAAAAGGGGCAGAGGACTTGAAAAGACCTCTTATCAAAAAGACAAGAAATAGTAAATGTTGGAGAGGATGTGGAGAAAAGGGAACCCTCATACACTATTGGTGGGAATGTAAACTGGTGCACCTACTGTGCAAAACAGCATGAAGGGTCTTCAAAAAATTAAAAATACAACTACCATATGACCCAGCAGTTTCACTTCTGGGTATTTATCCAAAGAAAACAAAAACACTAATTTGAAGAGATATATGCACCCCTTGTTCACTGCAGCATTATTTACAACAGCCAAGATATGGAAGAAACCTGTGTCCATCAATAGAAGAATGGATAAAGGAGATGTGGTGTGTGTACAACAGTATACTACTCAGCCATAAAACAGAATAAAATCTTGCCATTTGTGACAACGTGGATGGACCTAGAGGGTATTATGCTAAGTGAAATAAGTCAGACAGAGAAAGACAAATACCATATGATTGCACCTACATGTGGAATCTAAAAAACAAAACAAATGAACAAACAAAACAAAACAGAAACAGACTCATTGATACAGGAAACATAGAGGTGGTTACCGGGGGGGAGGGGTTGGAGGGGCGGGTAAAACAGGTGGGGATTAAGAGGTACAAACTTCCAGTTATAAAATAAATAAGTTATGGGGATGTAACGCATAGCATAGAGAATATAGTCAGTAATATTGTAATAAATTTGTATGGTGACAGATGGTAACTAGACATTGTGGTGATATGTGATTTTGTAACGTATATAAACGTGAATCACTATGATGTACACCTGAAATTAATGGTATTGTACATCAATTATACTTCAATTACAAAAAGGAAATAATAATAATACAGCCAGTGGTTTTGATAATGGCTGCATTTTAGAATCACTTGACGGAACTTAAAAAAAAAGTACTGACGCTCAGGCACCACTCGATCAATTAAAACAAAATCACTGAGTGTGGGGCCTGGACATCAGTATTTTTAAAAACATAAGTGATTATAACGAGCAGTTTAGGTTAACAACTGCTAAAAGTGACTGATACTATATGCTGTGCAAATGCAATCAATCACCTTTTTTTGTGAGGAAGATCAGCCCTGTGCTAACATCTGCCAATCCTCCTCTTTTTTTTGCTGAGGAAGACTGGCCCTGGGCTAACATCCGTGCCCATCTTCCTCCACTTTATATGGGACGCCACCACAGCATGGCTTGCCAAGCAGCACGTTGGTGCGCGCCTGGGATCCGAATTAGCGAACCCCGGGCTGCCACAGCGGAGCGCGTGCACCCAACCACTTGTGCCACTGGGCCAGCCCCTCAATTGCTTTTTTATACTTTATAATTTACCCTCAGCAAATTTGTTAGATCAGAATTAGAAACGGTATACATGGCAAACAGTGACCACAGCCAACAATTCTTGCTCATCATCTATATTTATTAAAATGCTCTGACTGTCACTGAATTGTACACTTCAAATGGATGAATTTAAGAGTATGTGAAACATTTCTCAATAAAGCTGTTTTTTAAAAAGTTGTTAGTGATTCTTTTTACTATTAGTTTCATTGAAGTTGAGCAGTAATAAAGAGGTTATCTCACTGCTTACCAAACCATGATTTTCAGCACCATAAAATAACTCTAAGTCACACTCTGCTTATTAGAATTTCAGTTCCTAGGCATTAACCTGGAATTAACTGAATCAGAATATTTAGGAATAGGGCCTAAAAATCTGTATGTTTTTAGTTCCCCAGGTGACTTTCAATTCTTAAAGAACCATATTGCCGGACTCCATCTGGAGCCAAACCTGGTTACACAGGCTCTGGATAAAAGTCTACCAATGTGTTTCACACAGGATAGCTAGCTAGTTCCACCCTATGGAAACAACCTATCCTTTGCCTTCCAAAATTGCTCAAACACTTTGAGGCACAGAAGTGCCAATATGCCCTCATAGTGGCTCCAAGTGTATACATATCCTAGGAGACACATAAGGTAGAACACTTACCTTCTGAGAGTCTTTCCTTCCAGCCTTGGGCTGCTGAAGTGAAGAACTCATTGTTAAGGGCTGAGCCATTTAACTTCATCAGACCATCTGGACCAACCTGGGTCAAAAAACAAGCCAAGAAAAGCTTACAAAGAAAGCCAAACATATCATGTGGAATTTTACTTTTCCTTTCTTTTAGAAAAGAATGCATGTACATTTAATTTTATAGAAACATGACTATGTCATATCATGCTGCTTATTATGGACACTTCTATTTTATAATGTAATATTTTTTTCTAAAAAATTTCTTTTCTGTTTACCTCTCCTTCCTTCTTCCTCTCCTTTAAACTCTATTCCCCTTTAAGTATACTCAAAGAATCATCTGCAAACAAATAAATACAGATGCAAGAGGTTTTTTCCCGAGAGGTTTATTATTTGTTTTATAAAGCAGTGACCAAGTTACATATACTTCTCTGAATCTTACTTTTTTCATGTAATACACTGTGGAAGTCTTTCCTAGTCAACTGGCATAGTTTTAGCTCCCTTATAATAGCTGCATATCATTTCATTGTCTCTTAATTCCTTTAGTAATTTCCTAATCATAAACATATTGTTTATAATGTTTTCCCATAATCAACAGAGCTACAATAAGCATTCTGGTAAAGATGAATAAGATGATGCTTTTGAGCCGGCCCCATGGCTTAGCGGTTAAGTGCATGTGCTCTGCTGCTGGTGGCCCGGGTTCGGATCCCAGGCGCACACCGACGCACCGCTTCTCTGGCCATGCTGAGGCTGCGTCCCACATACAGCAACTAGAAGGATGTGCAGCTATGACATACAACTATCTACTGGGGCTTTGGGGGAAAAATAAAATAAAAAAAAAGATGGTGCTTTTATTTCTATGGGATAGATTCTGAGAGCAAAGAAACATTTGTGTGTGTCTAACTAGATACTGTTAGATTATTTTCCAAAAAGGCTAACACAATTCACATTTCTTCTAGAAATATATGAACATACCCTTTACCCTATGAACAACAGATTAAAGTTAACATGCTATTTTGTTTTTGCCAATCTGATGGGTTTAAAATGGTCAAAATTTCCTTTATCCCAACTACTAGAGTTCTGTGCATCTTTTTGCAAGTTTATTGACTATTTAGATTTGCCATCTTGTGAAATGCCAATTCCTATCATTTGCTCATTTTTTTGAGGCAGCTTATTTTTTTTATTTTTATTTTTTGGTGAGGAAGATTGGCCCTGACCTAACATCCGTGCCAATCTTCCTCCAATCTGTATGTGGGATGCCGCCACAGCACAGCTTGACGAGTGGTGTGTAGGTCTGCACCCGGGATCTGAACTCGCAAATCCTGGGCCAGTGAAGTGGAGCATGCAAACTTAACCACTATGCCACCAGGCTGGTGGCAAGGCTGCTTACTTTTCTTATCAATTTGTGAGAATCCTTTACATATTATTCATAGTAAAACTGTCACATATGTTAAAAATATTTCCCCCAATCTATCTGTCTACTGACTTTATTTTTGATGTCTTGCTGAAAGGTTTTAAGATCCTTCTTTGTATTAGAGATTTTGGATTTCCTGTCTTGGTTTAAAACCATAAAATCTTATTTAAGGACATAAAAACACAAGATCTGATTAAATTCGGATGGAAAAACTTAATAAAATTGCCATTCTCTCCAAAGTTATTATTTACATTCCTATCAAAATCCTTATGACAATTTTACATTAATAAAATGATCTTAAAAGTTTATATGGAAAAAAATACGAAGAAAAATTAATTAATTAATTAAGAGGTGGGAATTGTATTAAAACATACCACACAAAGCTACTGCAATCAAAACTATTACTACTAGCATTAGAGTGAACAAAGACATGAGTGGAAGAGGAGAGAGCACCTATAAACACACATTGCATATAAATGAAGAGAATATATAACAAACATGGCATTTCAAGCTGTGAGAAAAAGACAGTTACATAAACATGTAGTACTGGAACAAGTGGCTATCTATTCAGTAGAAAATAAAGTTGAACCCCAATTTCAGAGCAATACAAAAAAAAATTCTAGATGGATTGAAAACCTACATGTAAGTTTTAGTTCAAAAACAATTTTTTGAAGAAAATTTAGGTAACTATTTGGATATTCTAGAGATTGAGGAACGCTTTCCAACCCACTTTACTTTCTAAACCTATCTGAGCCAACATTATGTTCCCCTGGCTCTAGAGCAGAAATTGGTAAATTTCTTCTGTTAAGGGACAGACCGCAAATATTTTAGGCTTTGCAGGCCATATGGCCTCTGTTGCAACTACTTAACTCTGCCACTATAGCACGAAAGTAGCTATAGACAATATGTAAACTAATGGGAGTAGCTGTATGCCAATAAAACTTTATTTATAAAAACAGGCAGTGGGCTGAAATTGGCCTGTGGGCTATAGTTTGCTGACTGCTGATTCGTATTCTAGTTTGGCAGAGAGGTAAACAGGCTTCCCTATGAGAAAAGGTCATCCAACCTCTGCTTGAATATTCCAGTGATGAGCAAGTTACTCCATCACAAGTCAATCCATTCCACAGTTTAACAGCTCCCACTGTTAAAAAAAAAATGTTGTTTTAACTCCAAATCTGCTTTCTGGAAAATCAAAGTGTACTCCTTTTGTATGATAGACCTTCAAATATATCTGAAGAGAGAGCTGTTTTAATCCACTCCCCTCCCTTATTCTTTTCTCTAGTCTAAAGCTTACTTACTCTCCATTAATCTCTTACTATAAACTAGGGAATATATCTAGTTCTCTTACTGTAAACTAGGAAAAACACCTCTCTGTCATCTTGTTTTCATAATGATGAGAAAAAGGGGGGTGTTGGGCCAGCCTGGGGGTGTAGTGGTTAAATTTAGTGTGCTCCGCTTCAGCAGCCCGGGTTCATGGGTTCAGATCCTGGGTGTGGACCTATAATACTTGTCAAGCCATGCCGTGGCGGCAACCCACATACAAAAAATGGAGGAAGATGGGCACAGATGTTAGCTCGGGGCCACTCTTCCTCAAGCAAAAAGAGGAAGATTGGCAACAGGTGTTAGCTTGGGGCCAATCTTCCTCACAAAAAAAAAAAAAAGAAAAGAAAAGAAAAAAGAAAAAAAAAGAGAAAAGAAAAAGGGGGTGGCTATCAGACTACTTAGAATATAGTAAGTGTTTGGAAATAATAATGAACAATCACAAAAAAATCTCAAAATTGAATAAACCTTAGAAAATCACAATGGTCCTTTCTTCTTTTGCAGAGGAGAAAACAGAAGATCAGAAAGGGGAGTGACTTACCAGTCACTCTTTCCTTGATGAAAGCCTGAGTCTCAGACTTTTACCTTATTCCTGACCAAGCTAAATCTCTCTGGTCCCTGCCTGGACTCTTCCCAAATCCTTGGTATTTCGTCTAGCTACCTTTTTTTAAAAGAATGTAACTTATATTGGGTTTTTAAAGTTCTTTATTACGAAAGCAATAAATGTTTTAGAAAAACTTAACAAAAGAATGAAAATAATTAATATTCTTAATCCCTTCAAAAAAGCCATTCAAAAACCCCTGTTTAATGTCTTAAACAAGATAACTCTTCCTCCTGAACTGTATTCTATGGATGCCTACATACTAACAGGGTAGCTAGACAAATTTTACTCATAATCTTGACATTCTATAAGAGTTTTCTTCCTTTATAAGCCTTATAGGGCCAACCTATTAAGAACACTTATATAAAAATATTCTTACTTCTTGTTTAGTACCTTTGATACCACTTCTTTTTTTGTTTTTTTGTGAGGAAGATTAGCTCTGAGCTAACATCCAATGCCAATCCTCCTCTTTTTGCTGAGGAAGACTGACCCTGGGCTAACATTCATGCCCATCTTCCTCTACTTTACATGGGATACTGCCACAGCGTAGCTTGATAAGTGGTGCATCAGTCCGCGCCCAGGATCAGAACCTGCAAACCCTGGGCCGCCGAAGCAGAGCACACGAACTTAACCGCTAGGCCACCAGGCTGGCCCCTGATACCACTTCTTTATAGGTACACATAAAAAACTATTTTAAAAGGCTTAAGCAGTTCTAAAGGAGATGAGTGAAGGAAGCCTCAGAAGGGTTATAAAATTGCTTTGCTTGAAATAACGCACCTGTCGATCCACCTCTGGAAGTAGTAAAAGCAGTCGCTGTTGGCAATCTCCAGGAAGGACTGAAAAAGTGTGTTTGTTGATCAGCGCTCGTAGATTTGTATTAACCAGAATGGAGTCTGGTGTCTCAACATCAATTTCAGCACATTTAGTCCTTTTCATTTGCCCTACAAAAATATGGAAAAGAATCATTTGGGCCTCCATCACATTCCTATTTCTATCTAAACTAGAGCTTGCTCTGCGGTGCAAAAAAACCAGTTGTAAGTACTTTAAATATCGCACTGTGAAGAAGGTAACACTTAAGGTTCTTGGAAATTTCTCCTAAGACTAACAAAGTAAGTTTTGTTTATTCATAAAGGATAAATGAATATAATTTATCTTCTCTGCAAAAACAGAACAAGGTCTGTAAAAGTGAACTGTTTGCCATATGAAAAGTGCATTTTACGTTTGAGACTTGATTATTTCCCAAACGGAACTAAGAAAATTTATGATAAATGACACACAGGAAAATGACTAAAAAAATAGAAAAATTCAAATGTATAGATAAATCATACTGAGGCCCTTTTTCCTTTCCTATTAGAATTTGTTTCATCAATTTTAATTTGCATTATCTAAAACTGTTATGACTGAATAGCTTAGCAGTTTCAGGAAATCTGTTCACAATCAAAAGGTACAGTCTTTCAAAAGACTGACAGATTTGAATACACAAAGGTTTAAAATGTAAATGGCAAAAAAAAAATTATAAACAAAAGACTAACTTAGAAAAAATATTTGCAAGCCTTGACAAAAGGTTACTCTTCATATTAAAAGTACATTTATAAATCAATATGAAAAAGACAAATATCACCAAGAGAAAAATGAGCAAAGGGAATTAACAGACACTTCATAGTGGACTAACCATAAACAGATGCTGAAGTATTAATATTTATAGAAATGCCAATTAAACCAATGAACATTTTTTGTGTATCAAAATGACAAACATTGCAACATAGTGATGAGACTATGCAGGGAAAAACCACTTACAAACACTGCTGATGGGGCTGAAATCAGTATAATCTCATTAGAAGAAAACTTAACAAGATACAGCAAAATTTTAATGTGCATAGGAACCTAGGACCCAGAAATTCTACATTCAGAAGTACTTGCACAAAGCTACACAATCCTGGATCTGGGTAAACCCTGGCTCCTGGCTAAAGCACCAGAAAAGTAATTTTTCTTTAAGAGGAAAGGATTTCCTTTAAGTTAGGCCCATAGTATTCCTACAAATTAAAATACAGCACCACCTCACAAAGATTACTCTGATAAACCAGAAGGTATGTCACTATGACAGAGTCAGCAGAAACCAGAAATAAAACATTTAGACCTAGAAGTACTGCTATCACTGAAACTGTCACATATACAGAACACTGAATAGCTATGTTTAAAATGATTAAAGAAATAAAGAATGCAATTATAAAGATGAAAATAAAATAATCAGGAATGAAGAGAAAGACCTGAAAAAATAAACAGGACTTCTACAAATGTAGAATAAAAATTGTTGCAATCAGATACTATGGAGGGATTAAACATCAGCTTAGACACTGTTAAAGAGGGAATTATAACCTAGAATATATAGCCAAACAATCTACCCAGAATACAGGAAAGACAGCTAAGATAAAATATTCTGAGAGCTTTGAGAGCATTAGCAGAAACATGAATGACAGATAAGAAGGTCTAATATATGCTTGATTGGAGACCCAGAAGGGGAAAATTCAGAGAATGGAAAAAAAGGCAATATTAAAAGAATTCACAGTAGAACATTTACCAGAACTGATGAAAACCACAAACCTAAAGATCTAGAAGCATTAACATATTCAAGCAAGATAAAAAGAAACGCATGCTTAGACCCAGCTTGGTAAAATTGCTCATCAAAGACTAAGAAAATAACTTGAAAGCATCCGTAAGGAAGCAAAAGACTTCATAAAAAGGAACAACAGAATAACAGCAAGCTTCTTAACAACAAAGGAATCCAGAACAAAGTGGATATTAACTATAAAATGTTGAGAGAAAATAACCATCAACCTATAATGGTACATATACTAAACTCTCCTTCAAGAATGAATACAAAACAAAGATGTTTATAGAGATATACAAAAATTGAGAGCATTTACTACCAAGAGACCTGCTTTAAATAAAGTTCTTAAAAAACTGTACTACAGGAAGGAAAACCATTGCAGAAGGATGGGCTGGAATACAATGGAGAAAGATAAACATGTAGATTCATCTATAGCAACATTGTATAAAACAATAGTATACTAGTGCCTGATCTATGAGATTAAACACAAAGAACAGAAATGTCAGATAATAATATTATTTAAGTCCAGTTAGAAAAGATCAGTGCTAAATTGTTATAAAGTACTTCCATTGTTTTGGAAGAAAATCAAAATGGTTACTTTTTTGCTAAGAGAGTAGATCTTAAAGTTCTCCTCACAAGGAAAAAAATGTGTAACTATGTGAGGTGATGGAGGTTAACTGAACTTACTGTGGTATTCATTTAGCAATATATCAAATCATCATGTTGTATACCTAAAACGAATACAGTGTTATATGTAAACTCTCTCTCAATAAAATTGGGGGGAAAAAAGATGGTTACTTTTAAGAATTAAACATGAATAGTATCATTTAAAGAATTACCACTAAAAGAATAGAAATAGAATGTACAGCACTCCCGTCTTACCACGGGGGGTTCAAAACCTCCAGTGGATGCCTGAAACCCGGACAGTACCGAACCCTATATATACTATATTTTTTCCTATACATACACTTCTATCATAAAGTTTAATTTATAAATTAGGCATAATATTAGATTAACAACAGTAATTAACAATAAAACAATTATAACAATATACTGTAATAAAAGTTATGTGAATGTTGTTGCTCTTAAAATATCTTATTGCACTGTACTTATCCTTCTTCTTTTGATGATGTGAGATGATACAATGCCTATGTGATGAGATAAAGTGAAATGAACAACATAGGCATTGTGACATAGCATTATTTTTGAATTGCAGTTGACCGCAGCATAATGGAAACCATGGAAAGCGAAACCATGAGTAATGGGGGACTACTGTATACCCAACTCAGTAGAGAGAAAAAGCACAAGGAGATTAAAATAGAAAACATACAAAAAAGCTCAGTCAAGCCCCCATCATCATTTTAATTAAAAAAAAAATTAAGAAAGATTAAAGAAAAATAGACACAGGACAAAGACCAACAAAAAAATAATACTGTAGAAACAAGTCCAAATATATTAACAATCACACTAAATGTAAATGGATAAAACTCACCAAATAAAAGACACTGTCATATTGGATTAAAAATTTAAATAATTCAGCTAGCAATATGCTGTGTAAAGAGATATACTTAAAGCACAAGGACAGAGAAATGAACAAATAAAGATATGCCAAACAAAAACTAACCATAGGAAAGCTAGTACACCTCCATTAACATCCAAAAGACACTTTAAGTAAAAAACGTATTCAGTGATTGATAAGGTAAATAATGATAAACGGTTCAATCACCAGAAAGATTTCAAACACGAAAATGTCTAAAATAAGACAGCTTCAAAATATGTTGACACATGTTTGAAATAAGAACTGATAGAACAACAGGGAGAACTAGACAAAGCCACCATTAGGATAGGAGATTTTAACACATCTCTCTCAATTACTAATAAATCAAGCATACCAACAGCAGAATAAAAAAGAAGGGAAAAAAAGGTGTCACTGTTTTTCAGATTAACAAGTTTGATCCAATAAACACAGAATTCTGTGTTTACCAACTAGAGTACACTTATAAAATTCATTATCATTATTCTAAAAAAGCAGGTCTCTGTAAATTTCAAATAATATTAGTAGTAATAATAACAATGATCAATAACAGCAGCAGTAATCACTTATATGGGGCTTCCGAAGCACCAGGCACTACTCTAAACACTGACATGTATTAACATTCATTTTTCACACAACCCTATGAAGTAGGAAATTATTATTACTCCATTTCACAGATGAAGAAAGTGAGGCCCACAAACAATAAGTAACTTGCCCAAAATTATACTATTTACAGTGCGGTAATTTGAACCCAGACATTGTGGCTTCAGAGTCTGTTGTTTATCACTCACTATACTACTATATAGGCACAGGTATCATACGCAGCATGATCTCTGATCACAGGGTATTCAAATCAAAACAACACTAAGATAGCACCTCATGCCTGTTAGAATGGCTATAATCACCAAGACAAAAAACAACAAATGTTGGATAGGATGTGGAGAAACAGGAACCCTCATACACAGCTGGTGGGAATGCAAACCGGTGCAGCCTCTATGGAAAACGGTATGGAGATTCCTCAAAGAATTAAAAATAGAAACACCCTATGATCCAGCTATCCCACTACTGGGAATCTACCCAACGAAGCTGAAATCAACAATCCAAAGAGGCTTATGCACCCCTATGTTCATTGCAGCATTATTCACTATAGACAAGAAATGGAAGCAACCTAAGTGTCCCTCCACTGACGACTGGATCAAGAAGGTGTGGTATACATATACAATGGAATAGTACTCAGCCATAAAAAAAGACAAAATCGTCCCATTTGCAACAACATGGATGGGCCTGGAGGGTATTATGTTAAGTGAAGTAAGCCAGAAAGAGAAAGACAAACACTGTATGATCTCACTCATATGTGGAATATAAACCAACACATGGACAGAGAAAACTGTATTGTGGTTACCAGGGGCAATGGGGGTAAGGGGTGGGCACAAGGGGTGAAGGGAGACATATATATGGTGATGGACAAACAAAAATGTACAATCAAAAATTTCACAGTTATAAACTATTAAAATATCAACTAAAAAAAAAGTCACCATTAAAAAAATAAACATCAAAAAAAAAAAAGAAAAAAAAAAACCTCTTGTAGACAAAATAGTCCATTTTCTGATAGCCTCTTATTTCCTTAGACTAAGCCGATTCCGTCCCATTCCTCTTCCCCTTCTAAGTTATTATTGTCACAACTTAATCTTGTTTTGTCAGTTTGTGGTTAAAATGATGAGACTATATTTATTTTTGATGTTTTCATTCCCTTTATCTTTAAAGTTATAATTATGTGTTTGCTAAGCTGTTCTGATAGAGCTGCAATTTTCTGATTTTGTCTACCTATTTCTCTCCCTGCTCAAGGCTTTGTAACCCTCTTCTTTTTTTCAAGTATGAAGGCCTCAAGTATTTCTTGTGTGTGTTGGGGGGAGGTGGTCTCGCGGCACTGAACTCCTTTAGCTTTTGTTTATCTGGGAAAGTTTTTATTTCTCCAACATATCTGAAGGATATTTTCGCTGGATAGAGTATGATTGGCTGAAAGTTTTTGTCTTTCAGAATTTTGAATATATCATTCCACTCTCTCCTGGCCTATAAGGTTTCTGCTGAGAAGTCCACTGAAAGCCTGATGGGGTTCCTTAAGTTATTTTCTTCTGTCTTGCTGCCCTTAATATTTTTTCTTTGTCATGGACTTCTCCCAACTTTACTACTATATGCCTTGGAGAAGGTCTTTTTATATTGATGTATTTAGGAGTTCTATTGGCTTCTTCCACTTGTATTTCCAGCTCCTTCCCCAGGTTTGGGAAGTTCTCAGCTATTATTTCCTTGAACAAGCTTCCTGTTCCATTCTCCTTCCCTTCTCCCTCTGAAATACCTATAATCCTTATGCTGCATTTCCTGAGTTGGATATTTCGTGGAGAATTTCTTCATTTCTTTTTAGTCTTAGTTCTCTCTCCTCCTCCATCTGGAGCATTTCTATATTTCTGTCTTCCAAGCTGCTAATTCTGTCCTCCATAACATCAGCTCTGTTGTTCACGGATTCCAGATTTTTCCTTATCTCATCTGTTGTGTTTTTCATCCCCAATATTTCTGATTGGTTTTTCTTTATAGTTTTAATCTTGCTTATGAAGGAGTTCCTGATTTCACTGAACTATCTACCTGTATTTTCTTGTAACTTGTTGAGTTTTTTTTATGATAGCTATTTTGAATTCTCTGTCATTTAGATTATAAATTTCTGTGCCTTCAGGATTGATTTCTGGGTGCTTGTCATTCTCCTTCTGGTCTGGAGTTTTAATATATTTTTTCATACTGTTTGACGCTGTAGATTTGTGCCTCATAGTGACAGTATCTGGTCGCAGCTTCCACCTGCCACCATGCGTGGGCATCAAGAGCTGTGTATTCTGAGCCTGCCATGACCCCAGCTCACTTGCTCTTAGCTGCTGGTTTTCTATCCTTTGAGCAGGCACTCTGGTCGACCGGCTGAGCTGGAGTGCTGGGCAGGGGTAGGGGTGCTTTCTTTTGCCTGCATGATCCCATGGGCGTTCTCCCTCTGCCCTTGCTATCTGCTCTCCTGGGGTGAGGGCCTGATGAAGACCCGCAGTAGCTCAGTCACCTTTGTGTAGGGCTTTCACCTGGGCTTTGAGGGAACTTGGAGAGCAAGAGTGTTCCTGCAGAGGGCCACCCCTCCCCCCACTCCTCTGAGAGCCGCGCATGGTCCTGAGCCCAGGGTCACTGCTGCTCAGGAGGCAGAACAGATCTCCTTACCTCCTTCCACTTCCTCTGGGGAGTCCAGGACCGACACCTTCAGATGTGTGGCTGTGTGGGTCTCTCAGATGTCTTTGTGTTGTGTGAATGTCCTCTGTTGGTATATGACTGTCTTTTCCATTGTATCTTACTGGGGACAGTCTAAGGGGAGAGTTCACTCCGCCACGATGCTGACGTCACTCCCACCATCTTTTCTTTTTGCCTGGGGAAGATCAGCCCTGTACTAACATCTGTGTCAATCTTTCTCTATTCTGTATGAGGGTCACCACCACAGCATGGCTTGACGAGTGGTATAGGTCCAGGCCCAAGATCTAAACCCGCCTACCTGGGCCGCCGAAGTGGAGCGTGTCAGATTTAACCACTATACCATGAGGCTGGCCCCTATTTTCTGACTTTTAAAAATAGTATTCTATTCTTTCATGGATGCGATATCATCTTTTATTTCTTTCTGTGGCTATTACACTTTTTGACGTTATTTGTTTTAAATCTTCTCCTTCCTGCATTGTCTGTTTCTTCTGAGCCTATACTTTAGATTCTGCCTCTCATGATGGAAGTTCTCCTCAAAGGTGATCCTTAGTAATCATAAGGAAAAGAGAGGCACTAAAAAGGCTGACTGGAAATTCTGGGTGCATGGGTGAATCTTATAGACAGGTGAGCTACACAGAAGTATGATCAAGATGACCTCTGTTTAGTTGGGAATCTATAAATTTTCCTGCAGATTTTTTTTCTGAGGCTATTCAATGTCTTTGAATATTCAGCCAGCCCTGGTAGTCTAGTGGTTAAGATTCAGTGCTCTCACCACTGTGGCCTGGGTTCATTTCCTGGTCCTGTCTGTCAGCTGTCATACTGTGGTGGCTGCATGTTCCTATGATGCTGCAAGCTATGCCACCAGTATTTCAAATACCAGTAGGGTCACTCATGGTGGACAGGATTCAGCAGAGCTTCTAGACTAAGACGGACTAGAAGGACCTGGCCACCTACTTCTTGAAAAAATTGGGCATGAAAACCCTATGAATAGCAACAGAGCGTTGTCTGATGTAGCACTGGAAGGCAAGAGGATAGCGCAAAAAGACCAGACAGGGTCTGCTCTGCTCTCCACAGGGTCACTAGGAGTCACAATTGACTCGATGGCACTAACACTCAATTTCTTTAGGTACCAATCAACCAATTTCCTGCTGGATCATAGGTGAGGAAGAAGGAAGTAGTGGTGGTAGAAACATGTCTCACTACTAGCATTCTGAAAGCCAAGCAGAAAGATCACTATTCAGTATTTGTATTTTACTTAATTTCCTTGATTTCAGTATATTGCCTCATTATCTGCCTTCAGCTATGTATGGTATTGCTGAATGTGAAACCTGTATGCTTTAATTTCACCTCAAAATAAACCTCCTATCTCCTGCTGACATGAGGCATCAAACTGCTTCTTAAAGAAGCTTTTTCTTTTCAACCCTATGCCTCACCCTTCTCTACTATGATACATAGTATCTCCAATTCTTGAAGCTTTCTGGTGTTCTGCAGCGTTAGCTGGCTTGCTTATTACCGGCACCTGCTCCTCAGCTCTGCGAAAAACTTAATCCAGTTTTCATCTTTCAAAATTTGTTGACACTGCCTGCCCATCTGCTGTCTCCTTGTTTTCTTCACCCTTATGGATTTAATCTTTTGTATCTCCATATTCTCATTTTGGTGGGATTTCAGAGGAAGCAGAAAAAAAGTTCAGTTTGCCATGTTTAATTATAAACCTTCTACCTTTCTGTACACAGTTAGAAACAATATGTAGATACTGCTGGACAAAGCAACCTATTGTCAGAAAGAGAAATAAACCACAAAATGGCTGATAATAGATCTTATTCTGAAACAAAGTTTGATAAGGGCAGGACAGGAAGAACATGAAGATAGTCAACAGCTCATAGGTGTATAGGAATTAACAATTAAGCCAAGTAGCTGATGGATTTCAAACAGAGAGCTGACAAATTAATCCATGAGAACTGAAGTCTTCGTAAATTAACTTACTTGTGTGGAGCCTGTCAGACCTCTGGAATGACTTCTTCCCCAAGCCTAGCAAAGGATTTTCCACTTTAACTGAAGAAGAAAAGCTGGAGTTTGAGTTCTGAGGGCTGCTTGACTGACCATCAGATTGCTTTCCTTCCCATATTGCTAGGGGAAAAAATATATAAAATACTGGTGACACTGAGGTTGTAGATAGAAATCAATCAAACAATTAAATCATTCAACACTAACAAAAAAGGAGTTAGGTATGAAGCAATGTGACCCTGCACATATGTTTTGAGTCTGAGAATTTAGAGTCAAAAAGTAAAACAAAACCCTTCCTTCCCAGTATATTATTTGCTTCTTGTGGTAAATTTCCTTCCTAACAAAAATGCAAAGTTCTGCAAGACACAGTTTAAATCTGCGAGGCCCATATATTCAGCTGGCATCAAAATGAATTGTGTAATAAAATGCAAAGTCTGTATCTAGATCAGTTTAAACTAAAAACAAAACAAAACAAGCAACAATAACAAAAATTCGCAGGCCTGTGGATATGTCCAATGGAAACTCAAAGGTGGCATGTGTTCTCAGGAAAATCTTTTATTTTTAAAGGAGAGAACTGGCAAAGAGTTCAGTCTGTGTGTCATGACAACATCGGCTTTATAAGGTTACTGATTAGAGGCTTCCAAATATTATTAGGTTAGACATTTTGGAAGTTAGTCATTCATCTTATTCTAACATGCAAATCCCACTGATGTATTTTTTAATAACTGCATGATTATTTTGCATAAATATTCCCATTTACCCTGGAAGGATTTATACTGATGATTTAGCAGAACAAGGATTATATAAATAAATATAGTAATTTAAAACCAACATAAAAATACCAGAAAAAGAAACTTCCATTAAAAGACACCCAGTATGCCTACCAGGTTTGGCAGGTACAGAGTCACTGGCTGCTTTGACAGTCTTCAGAGAGAGATGCTGGTTGGAGATGGACATGCTTGGCCTGCATTGCTGCTGCTGCTTCTTCTGCTGTTGCTGTTTTAGAGCCTATAAAGAGAAAACGGACTATAAGAAACAAATCAGTTCTTAGTAATAACAAAAAGTAAATCACTTTTTTTTTAAGTGGTGAGGAGCATGTTGACCATCCAGTTTCTTTGAAAGCTATGAAAGTAAACAAAAACCTAAATTAAACCAATTAAGCACAAGGCCTAAAACATCCTTAAGAGTTTGGATATTTTTTGCCAGTATTACTCCTTTACATAAATGTGAAAAATAGTAACCCTTTTTAGAACTTAAAAATCACCAGTAAGCCATGGACTTCCCATACTTCTGGTAGCAGAGAATTAGATGTTTTCAATCATTTCTGGAAACAGAATTCTAAGCCCTATACCAAGAGTCCCATTTGCATCAACTCTATGTAGAAATATAAATATTTGGCTCACATATGTTTCAGAGGGGCTACATTTGAACAAAAGGTTATAAATAACTACTTGAGTTTTATCTCGCAATAGGATTTGGCCCAATGACCAAATCTCAGCAATTTACAGCAATGCAGTATACAAAAGGGAAGGAAGATTAGAAAATACTGGTTCTAAGAACAGGGTGGTTCCTTCTGGCTATTTCAGAATTTTTTTTTTCTATGATATTCTTAGTTTATAGAATATACTACACTAAACTATTTAGAATGAACAGCAAGACAAGAAACTTCCCAGGTTTTAAACATGAAGGCAACTCTTTAACTCAAGCTTTAAAAAAAAAAAAGGAAAAAAAACTAAGAAAGTAAAGCTACATTTCAGGAAAAAGTTGAAAATCTATGCCCTTGCTAAATTGCCAATTTACGCTTTAACCTTCAAGACCATCATGCAGAAAAATGTGGAGTAACTGGTTACTCATTTCCCATTCCCTCTTCACAATACAGTTTTTTCCTGCTTTACATCCACCCCTATCTCTGGCTATGCTATTCAGTCACAGTGGCAACAGCTCATCGTCCTGATCCAAGCTGTCAATGGAGAAAAGTAACTGAAAGAGTCAGATATCTGGCTTACATTCACCCAGAACGTTTATAACAGGTGAGGTAGAAGCACAATGTGTAAAAAAAAAATGATTATAGTTTCTCTCTCATTCTTTGAAGTCAAGAACAGAAAATGTTCATAGGCTTCCTGGGTGTCAGCCACTAGTATTCATCCCTTGCTACTCACTTTATCCAGGTCACTCTAGGTTAACACAAAATTTATTAGAACCATTTGATCTCATCTATTTCTGCTGTGATTATGTAAATTCAGAAACATGATGGAAACAGAATAACTTACAGCTTCTCTATTTAAGAACTATACTCAGTTTTTCCCTCCCTTAGCAGTGTATAAACTCCATTCCTAACTCTATTTTAAAATTTAAAAAACAAACAACAAAAAAACCTTCATTGTGGTAAAGGAAAACATATTGAAGTAATTTTTCTCACCTAATACTATGAAAAACATACACTGGAGGCAAGGCCTTACTTTACATAGAATCTAATTTATATAATTTCCCATAATGGTATTCCCTAAAGAAAATACAATATTAGACTATTGGGATTACAGGAGTATAATACAGGAATAGTACACATGTCATGAATTAGCTAACAAGGTTTAAAAAAATACTTGCCTTTCTCCTGTGGAAAACAAGCATCTTATACTTAAAAATCTTCCAAAGAACTTACAAAAATACAAGTGCTGCATGATACCCAGGCAAGCAGTAATTAATCTTATCAAATTTCTGGACATCTTCTAATAAAAGCACTTTCAGTTTAAACACTTTTAGACTTACATAATTTTTAAAATTTTAATTATACAGATAATACATGAATACATTTTTACTATTTAATTCAAACATAAAGCTAAACTCTCTTTTGACCACCACTCAGTCTTGGTCCTCAATCCTCAAAGGTAACCACAGTCATTAATTTATTTTTCCTTTTGTTGCTAGTCTGGTTGAGTTGATTCCGACTTCTGGCAATCCTGTGTATAGTTGAGTGAGACCCTGCCGGGTCTTTCTGCACTATCCTCTCACCTTCCGGTGCTATATCAGACAATGCCTGCTGCTATTCATAGGGTTTTCATGGCCAATTTTTTTGGAAGTGGGTGGCCAAGTCCTTCTTCCTAGCCTGTCTTAGTCTAGAAGTTCCACTGAAATCTGTCCTCCATGGGTGACCCTACTGGTATTTGAAATACCGGTGGCACAGCTTTCAGCATCACACACCTGCCATAGTATGATAACCAACAGATGGGTTACTGGGAAACAAACGAACCTGGGCCACGGCAGTGAGAGCACCAAATCTTAATCACTAGGCCACCAGGGCTTATTGAGCTTTTTTTAATGCTTACGTTATATGTGCATGTTTATGTGTGTATACATATTCTTGTCTCTATTAAAGATAAAATATTGTTTTGTTGGTAGTTTTGTTGGTATATGCTATGTTTTTATAAATGGTATCATGCCATACATGTTGTAATACAACTTAATTTTAATGATTCAACATTATAGTGTGGTGATATTTCCATGTCTATACATATGGAATAAGCTTGTTACAAAGTAAACTTTTAATCTTGCATAATTGTCCAGCATATGGATATGCCATTATTAAGGAATTCCCTAATTGATACATGTTAAAATGTTCAACGGCTTAGTCACAGGGTATGTGCATTTAAAATTTTAATAAATATTACAAAATTTCTCTCCAAAGTAGCTATAATTTATATTTCACCAGCAAACTACAGGCAGCCATTTTCCTACACACTTGCCGCTGTTTGATATTATAATTAAGCTCTTTATTTTAAAAGCAATCTGATGACAAAAGTAATCTGTTATTTTAGTGTTTCCTTAATTACTAGTGAGTTTGCATTTACTGATCATTTGCATGTCAAAAAAACTATAAGCAAGTTCTCTGAAAAGCCCAATAAAACAGACAAACCGTTGGCAAGTAGCATAGGAAAAAAGGAGGCACACTATTAAAGGAACAACACTGAAGAACAAAAAAGAGACATAAAAGAATATTATGTACAACTTTATACCAATATTTGAAAAAATAAGGTGAAATGGACATTTTCTAAGAAAAAATAAATTTCCATAATTGGCTCAAAAAGCATAAAATCAAGAGACCAGTAACAGCAGATGAAACTGAAATGCCAGCAAAACAATTTTAAAGGTGAGGTTTACAGACCTTTCAAGGAAAATATAATTCCCATTAAGTTTTTTCCAAAAATCTAGAAAAATATAGAGAGCTACGTAACTTATTTTCTGACGCTAGAGCAATCTTGATTCCAAAACTGTGTAAGGACAGCACAAGAAAACAGCAAACTCTAAGCTAAAATCTTAAAAAAAAATTCCATAACATATTAAAAAATATGTAACAAACATGTAGAGTTTATTCCAGAGAGCTAAGTATAGAATAACCATAGAAAATCTAGCTCTGAAATTCTGTATATTAGTAGATTTAAAGAGAAAAGCTAGGGCCGGCCCCGTGGCGTAGCGGTTAAGTGCGCGTGCTCCGCTACTGGCGGCCCGGGTTCAGGTCCCGGGCGCGCACCGATGCACCGCTTCTCCGGCCATGCTGAGGCCGCGTCCCACACACAGCAACTAGAAGGATGTGCAGCTATGACATACAACTATCTACTGGGGCTTTGGGGCAAAAAAATAAATAAATAAAATTTAAAAAAAAATTTAAAGAGAAAAGCTACCTCATCATCTCAATAAATGCTGAAAAAAATAAACTTGAAAAATTCAACACCTATATATAATTTTTAAAAACACACACAAACAAAAACCTCTCAGTAAATTAGCAACAAATGAGGAACTTTTAACATGTGATAAAAATAGTCACTTTCAATGACTGCTGGAGTCATGCAGTTTAATGGAGGAGATTATACTTCTGATAAACACAGACTAGCATGATTACCTGCTTTAGTGCCTTCTTGCTGTGCTTCTGTGATGGAGAAATGACTTTACCTGCTGGAATGGTGGGTGATGGGCAGCCTGACTGGGGAGAGGATGGCTGTGACAGTCTAGACGATACTAGGGGGGAAAAGTGACAATGAAAAATTTTATCAGAGTTGATATCAAGCACCATTCCTTCCCCAATCATATGCTGCTACCTGTATTAAGAACTGTGACCAAACACTTTTGGGAAGGATCTTCTTTTTTGGAGTTCTACTGCAAACAGCCTCCCTTTTCAGTTTATTTCCTCAGAAAGCTCTAGTGAAGGATGATAGGATGGGGAAGGGATGGGTGTTAGTATTCATTACTTTTCACTGTTTAATTTTTCAATAGAATTGACTGAAGAAGCAGGAAGCAGAATATAAACCATGAGTCATCAAATTAGGTAAAACTTAGAAAAGATTCTAGAGCCTGTTGGACAGTTACGTATATTCTCAAGGTAAATCTAATAACAGAATATAGCTGAAGAGGTATAGAATGGGTCCCAGTTTTCCCTATCTTTAAAATGAAGGCAATAAGGCCATTCCACCTCAAAAATCTACCGTAACTTTAATTCTTATATTCCTTCATCTCTTAAATCAATAGTTTTAGGCCAGTGTCAGATGGTGGTTTAGGATTTTTCTCTAATGGAAACAATGTAGGTTTGCACAGGATGTAACCACTCTCTACTTCATCACTAGCTATTTTACACCCCATCAGAGCTTAGCTAAACCTTAGCCTTATGTAAATTAGGGTTTTTCCTTCAAGAACCTGTATCTCTTAGAATAAATGGCAACTAGATTTTTATGTTCTTAAAGTCTGATAACATAATATTTATGATAAGAGAGAAAGAAATTGCTGATTCAGACCCCTTACTAATAAAAAAAATATAGTAATAATTACTACTGCTAGTGATGACTCTCCAAGAGTGTGTCTTTACTAATGCCTTCTTTTTTCATAGTAGCTGGATTGAAAAGGCCTGGATAGCAAAATGGCATGCCATGGTATGGCTAAAGAGCATTAAGATACCATATAAATTATGTTGGTAGGTAGCTACCTGACATAAATATGAAGAAGCATGTTCATGGGAATACACAAGTTTTTGAAGACAGCATTTCAAGTGACTCTTAGATGTCCTAAGAAAGGAATACACAGTAGATAACATTGAAAGACAACAACAACAGACAATATTAAGAAGATGACTTATCACACTTAGCTTCAGCTTTGTATCCCAACCCTTATGATAAGGTTTATATACGGGAAAGAACGGGCATACAATAATTGTGACCTTAAAAAAAAGTTCATTGTAATAAACCATACAAAAATGGAGCTGGATAATTCTTGAGATGGTTGAGTAGTGAAAAGAAACCATATCCTCAGTACACTTAGATGCTGATCAATCTTTTTAAAATACCAGCTTTATTGAGATATAATTTATATACCATACAATTCACCTAAAGTATAAAATTCAATGGCTTTTAGTATATTTGTAAAGCTGTGCAACCATCACCACAATCCATTTTGATCATCCACCAAAAAAACCTGTACCAGTTAGCTGTCATTTCTCTTTTCCCTAACCTATGCCTCTAGTCCTAGGAAATCACAAATCTACTTTATGTCTCTACGCATTTGCCTAATCCGGACATTTCATATAAATGGAATCATACAATATATACTCTTTTGTGACTAGCTTTTTTCACTTAGCATGTTTTGAAGGTTCATCCATGTTAGAGCATGTATCAATACTTCATTCCTTTTATCATCGAATAATATTCCATTGTATGTATATGTCACATTTTGTTTCTTCATTAGCTGATAGACATCTAGGTTGTTTCCACTTTTTGGCCATAATGAACAATGATATGAAGAACATTTGTTGACAAGATTTTGTGTTGGACATGTGTTTTCAATTCTCCTGGCTTCATATCTAAAAGTGGAATTGCTGGGTCTTAAGAGTAACTCTATGTTTAATTTTTTGAGGAACAGCCAAACTGTTTTCAAAAATGGCTGCATCATTTTCACAATTTCATTAGGAATCTATGAGGTTCTAATTTCTCCACATCCTTACCACCACTTGTTATTGTCTCCTTTTGACTTGACCAATGTTTTTAAAGGGGCATAATGAAAATAAAGTTAAAAACTATTAATATTTAACTATGTTTATTTTCTTTTTTAATGGTTTGCAGAAATCTGAGAATAAACATTTCCTCACCTGCCCCAAATACTGCCTGAAAATAAACAGAAAACAAACAAACAAACCAAAATAACCCTATTAGAGAATATAAGAACTGTACCTTGCAACCTGGAAAAGAGACAGTAAAGCTATCTGTAATTACTTTGGCAAATTGTTTGGAATATTTCCCCATAAGGCAAAAGCTCTTTCTAACAATGAAACCATAAAGATATCTCAAAGCAAAGTGAAATAAATCATGAAAATACCAGGACCCACAAGTGAGGAACATCTCCCAGAGTTGACTTAATGCCAAGTACTGGTCTCATAACTTCTATCAAACTTAACTTTGTTCTAACTTTTAAATATTAAAGGCTCTGAACTACAAGCAGTAAACAAGATTTAAACACGTTGAGAAACTCATCTCTCGTATTCCTTTTAGTGGCTACACTGTCTTCAAAGACACATAATTTTATTAATTAGAGCAAATAAGAATTAAATATCTTCCAAGCGCCTAACATTGTGCTGCTAGGTTACTTTGAACAAGATTTCATTGAACCCTCATAACTACCCTCTAAGGTGGGTACAAGCTCTTTCTACTGCCATCCAAACTCCTCCAATTCTACCCTCTGAGATAACTAAATAATATAGTTGGGTTGGCATCCTTACTGACATTTTTCTATGCAAATAAAAATATGAAAAGATTTCTAAGGACATATATTTACACATAAGTAAATTTTAAATATACACATTCATCTGCATATTATAATGGTATTATCTAAATTTTACGTATCAGGAAATTTAATTAGCTTGCCAAAGGTCACAGCTAGCAAGGAGCACAGCCAAGATTTGAACTTGGCATATTTTCAGAATGAGTGGGTACTTGTAGTGGGCTAAATGGTGGCCACCAAAAAGTCATGCCTGTGTCCTAATCCCCAGAACCTGTGAACGTTATGTAATTTGGAAAAAGGGTGTTGGCAGATGTAATTAAGGGTCTTGAGATGAGAAGATCATCCTGGATTATCCCAGTGGGTCGTAAATCCAATGACAAGTGTCCTTAGACACATAGAGCAGACACAGAGGAGAAGGTGACGTGAAGACAGAGGCAGAGATTGGAGTGATGTGGCCACAAGGCAAGTCAGTCAGCAACCACCAGAAGCTAGCAAATACAAGGAACAGATTTCTCCCCTAGAGCCTCTGTAGGGAGTGTGGCCCTGCTGACACCTTGATTTCAGACTTCTGGCCTCCAGAACTGTGAGAAAATAAATTTCTTTTGTTTTGAGGTATCTAGTTTGTGGGAGTTTGTTACAGCAGCCTCAGAAAACTAATACAGTACCTAAAACTGATTTTATTTTTAAAAGTATCATTATCAACTCCATACCATTATCAACCATACCAATATAATTACTGAGAGTAAGACTACTGAACACAGTTTAAGATTTCTTTGTGTCTGGTCTCCCACATCTACACTATATCCCACAATAACTTATCTATGTCATTATGCCATAAATTTGACATACACTTGAGTTTGCTTTAAGTTGTTTCATATTTCTACAAAGTAAATTTTAAAAATTTATTTGTTTTAATTATGTGAAACTATAAAACAAGTTATTTTCATATAAATCTAGCTCCCTCCCCTGCCCCTGTCTACACCACTTTATTACCTTTCTTCCCCTACAGGAAATTATTTATATTAGTCTTTATCCTTCCACTGTTTATTTGTATTTTTGTTTTGGTGAAAATACAGTATATATATTTTAATACTCTCACTCATTTCTTTAAGCAAAAAATCATGTACTTTACTGTCCAGCACCTTCGTTTTTTAACTTAGTATAATTAATATATCCTGGGGAATATCCTAGAATAGAATATAGAGATCTTCCACATTCCTTTAAATAGCTACATAGAATTCCATTGTGCAGATGTACCACAATTTCTTCAACCAAATTTTGACGAGTATTTTGGTTCTTTCTGGTGTTTTGCTCTTATTACTGAAATGTCTTAACCAGTGGTTCCTAAGATGCTGCACCAAAAACACCACCATTACTATCTAAAAATCTGTTGGAAATGCAAATTACTGGATCCCAGCTCAGATATACTGAACCAAAAACTCTGAACATGGGGCCCAGGAATCTGTGTCATAATACCTTGCCAGGCGACTCTGATGCATGCTCAAGTTTGAGAAGCATTAGTCTTAAACTATGCTATTTTGTATTGTTAACAGTGTATCTGTGGATGACTATTAGAAGCGGGTTTGCTAAGTCAAAGGATAAAAACATAAGCTTCCAAAAACAACAGTTAGAAAAGTTTCACTATTCTTGGGTTTTAAAAGGAATTAATGTATGTTTTCCTTTATTACTTGGATTTACGTTTTACATTTATTGTATCTCTAATTTGTTGGGAATTTATCCTGGAGTATGGTACGAGAAATGAACCCACTCTCATCTTTTTGGCTATTCAGTTTTTCTAACACCTTAGGACGTATCTTACAAGGGTCATGTTCATAGTTTTTGTTGTTGTTGATGTAGTTATTACAAATGTGTTCTCTTTTTTATTATCATCTATATTTATGATGGCTGAGTGCTATGTATTAATTTTACTTACATCTTGCTACTTCACTGAATTCCCTCTTTTATCAATTTTTATCTTCGTTCCTTTGAACTTGTCTGACGCATAATCATATCATCTGCATACAGAGACAGTTCTCCCTTTCTCTTGTTGTTTATCGTTCCACCCGCTTTCTCTTGCTTACTTGTGTTGATAAATACCTCTAATACAATGTCATATAAGAATTGAGATAGTGGGCATCTTGTTCTTGGCTTGTTCTAGCTAAAGAGTAAGCCACTAGTGTTTCCCCATTAAGATGCTAGTTTTTCGGGCCGGCCCCGTGGCTTAGCAGTTAAGCGCATGTGCTCCGCTACTGGCGGCC